ACCAGCATCACTCGAACCGAACACGGCCGTAAACTCTACTCTAGTCTCTAATCTATTCCATGCTACGCCACTCTAGTAATTGTCGTTGTAGTGATAGCTGTCGGAGATGGCGTTGCCGATGACGATGGTGTAGATGATGGAGATGGTGACGATGATGATGATGACGATGATGCCAACGACAGTGGCGGCGATGTTGATCTTGCGGGCCGTCCTTGATGCTTCCAGCGCTCCGACCTGATCGTTATTGGCCATCCTCTCTGTCACCTGTATAATAATAATGTTCAAGGCCACAATTAAAAAAAATATTTGTTTGCCCTCACCCAACCCGTGTGTGTATGTGTGCATGTGTGTGTGTGTGTGTGTGTGTGTGTGTGTGTGTGTGTGTGTGTGTGTGTGTGTGTGTGTGTGTGTGCGCAGCGTATTGTGCGCGACTGCTTTGTGTGGTGTGCGTGGTGCGTGTGTGTGCGTGTCGTGTGCGTGGTGTGTGGCTTGTGTGCCATGCGTGTGTGTGCGATGTGCCGTGGTGTGCGGCGGTGCGCGCGCACGGCTGCGCGTATGTGCGTGTGTGTGGTGTGCCAGTTGCGTGTTGTGTGTGCATAGGCGCACGCGTGTGTGTATGATGTAATGTCAACGTCAGTGGCGCTGTACCTTGTTGAGTAACAGATGCAGGCGTACTAGCAGGCACAAGCTAGAAAAACAGTTGAGGATGGACAGCACCATTGTAAGTCGATGTGGGCGGCGACTGCAGCAACCTAAAAATACAAGGTGAACAGCATGCCTAATAAAGTTATCTCAGCTTAGATCCAAATTAAGTTAAACATAACTTACACTGAGAAATTTTCGTCCACTTACTGGGAACACAGACACGGCGAAAGTCTATCGAGAGATGGACGAAATTTTCTGTCAGTGTAAGTTTATTTTTAACTTAATTTGGCATACTCAACGCAGAAAACTTTATTGCCATGTGAACTTTAGATGATCCGATAGAACTTATTTAATCATGCAAAGTGAGCATAATCTTTGTGTAGGTGGGGGGGGGGGGGGGGGCGAGACAAAGAGATGAAGCGTGAGCGACAGGGTTCGGACGCTTACATTATTCCTAGATTTCTAGGTGCCGTGAAATGTGATTACGTCACCGCCAACTATAAAAGTAAAAAAAATTCGCTTTCATTTTTACAGCAAAATGAGTGATTCATTTCCCTTTTTATTGGTTATTTGTATTTTGTTCGATGTGAACAAACGCTCGTGACCCATACATAGCCATATCGAGAGCATTATTTAAGTCATTGAATCTCAACGATCAATATATGAAATCGCCCAGGTTTTTTGGATTTCTAACTAGTTGAAAAATCAATCTTATCAGGTAAGAACTGAGGAACATTTAGTGCCATTTAGTATATATTTTCATGTAAAAAAATTCAACCTAACCTTTTGACAAATATACACCATATGAAATTTGTGACAAAGTCATTGAATGAGTGAGAGTTCAAATAGCGGGTTTGAGGTGATTGATTGATTGATTGCATTGCTTGATTGAGTAAGGGAGCTGAGTGGGTGTGTGTGAGTGCGTGAGTGATGAGTGGTGAGCGAGCAAGCATATGAGTAACGAGGTGATGTGAATGAGGCAACCCAGTGACGGGAGAACAGATGTGGAATCCTGTGTGGTTGTTACATATGAGTGGGGTACGCGATCCGAAGACTGAGTGAGGTGATGTGAGTGAGTGAGTGAGCGGTAGTGAGTGAGTGAGTGATGGAGCAAGGCAGCACACACGCGTGCAAGTACACTCACCACGACTGCTGCACTCCTTGTTGCTGTGGTGATACGCATGCCTGGCTGTTGCAGTACTGCATCCGGTTGTTGCGACGTACTGCAGCTCCTGGTTGGTGCTGCACGCCTGACGCACTCCTGTGTTGTTTGCACGTACTGCATGCCTGGTTGTTGGCCTGGTTGTTGCTGCATTATGCATCCCTGGTTGTTTGTGGCTACTGTCCGCTCAGCCGGCTGTTCGTACGGGCCATTCCTGGTTGCGCGCCTGTTGTACGGCTGCTGAGTGTAGTGCGAACTTCTGCGCTACAGAAATAAAAGCATGCTAATAATAGGTAGCCTCTGGTGCTAGCCTATTGGTGTGCTGTGGGGAACAAGGGCTACTTACGCTCATAGGGTCACTGTCCCCCAGGGTACTGCCGGGACGTACCTGCGGTACGGTCCAGCTAAACGAACGTACGCTGGTCTACTATTTGATATGGTTAGGGTTAAGATTAGGCGTTAAGGTTAGGGTTAGGGTTAGGGTGTAGGTTTAGGTTAGGTTAGGGTTAGGGAGTAAGCGACTTCCTAGACTCGTAGTGGAGATAGCGAGGTACGGTCCAGCATATTAGATAGTACCAGGTACGTTCGCGTACTACGGACCGTACCAGGGTACGTTTCGCGGAGCAGTAGCACCGGGGACATAAGACGCTACTCAGCGCGCTACTCTACATAGAGCTAGCCAACAAGCAGACTTTGAAATACATGTACACTGTTTAGTTGCTAATGCTCATGGCACACAACGTACACACAGCGTTACACAAATTCTATTAGCTAGAGTCCGCGGAGTATGCGCGTCCGTTTGTCCGTCCGCGGCATCTATCCTCATCCATCCATTGCGACGCACCGCACGCTACGGTATCCATCCGTCGTCAATCCATCATGATCGTCCGTCCGTACCGTCGTTCCGTTCCGTCCGTCGTCGCGTCCGTCCGTCGGCGTCCATCCATCCATCCATCCATCCATGCATCCGTCAATTCATTCAACCATCCATCCATCGACATCCGTCCGTCAATTCATTCAACCATCCATCCTCTCATCCGCCATTCGCATCCATCCATCGACCTCGGCATCCATCCATCCATCCTACCACTCCATCCATCCATCATTCCATATCTCCATCTACGCATGCCTCAATCATCCACATGCCATCATCCATCCATGCCATCCTCATCCATCCATGCCATCCATCTCACCCACACATCCAGTCCATCATCCTCCATCCATCATTCATCGCATCCATGGTCCATCGCATCATCACCACCCATTCCATACTGCCATCATACATGCATCTATACGCGTCCGTATCCATCATTCCCATCCATCCATCCATCCATGCCATCAATCATCCATGCCATTCCATCTCCATCCATCCATCATCTCCACGGAGCCACCCATCCATCCATACCATAGCATCCATCTATCCGCCCGTCCATCCGTCCCGTCGTCGTCGTCCGTTCCGATCGTCCGGTCCGTCCGTCCGTCCGTCGTGCCGTCGCGCACCACCCATCCATGCGCATCCATCCGCATCCATCCATCCATGCCATCCATCGCATCCATCCATCCATCCATCCATGCCATCCATCATCCATTCCATCCATCCATGCATCCATCCACCGGCGCCTCCATCCATCCATCATCCAGGGGGCGGCACACGTATCCATCATCCATGCCATCATCGCATCCATTCATCCATCCATCCATCATCCATGCATACAATCAAGTCATCATGCAATCGCACCTCATTCCATCCATACCATCATCATGCCATCCCTCCATCCATCCATGCCACCCATCCATCCTACCATCCATCCGATGGCCCATCGCATCCACGCACACCTATCCATCCATCGTCCATCCATTCGTCCGTTCGCGTCGTCCGTCGTCCGTCCGTCCGTCGCGTCCGTCGTTTCCCCCGCCGCCCGCCCGCCGCGGCCGCCCGCCGCCGCCCGCCCGCCGCGCCGCGCCAAGCCATGCCATCCATACCATCCATCCATGCCATCCAGTCCATTCAATCGCTCCATACCATTCATCCATCCACCCCACCGCATCATTCATCGCTCCATCATCCAATGCCATGCCATTCCATCATCCATGCCATCCATCATCCATCCTCCAGTCATCGGATCCATCCATCCATCGATCCAGTCATCCATCCATACACCATCCATCACCATGCCATCATCCATCATCCCCCACGCCATCCACGCATCAATCCTCCGCATCCATCGGCATACCATCCATCCATTCATCCTCGCATTCACCCACCCACCCATCCATGCATCATCCCTCCCATCCTCCATGCACACTCCTCCATCCATCCATCCATCCATCCATGCATCCATCCTCTCATGCCATCATCCACCATCTATCCATCCATCATGCATGCATCCATCGCATCCATCCTCCATCCATACCATCCACCGCATCCATGGCATCCATCCATGCCATCATCCTCCATCCCACACCACCCCCCCACCCTCGTCATCCATCCATCCATGCACACCGTGCTCCTGTACCCACCCCTCTATATTATATATTTTCCTCTAGCATCCCGAGATCAGCATGGCGTTTCGCAGACTCCGTCCTCGCGGTTTCGTCTAGCAGCATAATCGATACACTCGTACTGTAGCGATGGGGCCGTAGTGGCGTAACAGGGCATTCGCTCTAGCATAGCACGGGTGCGTGCGAGGGACTGTCTGTCCACGCACATAAACCCCCCATAAACATGGCCGGCTGGCTGAGTGGTAGCTCTAGAACTACGGCCTTCGCTCTGTCACAGGTGACAGGGGCCTCAGGCCTGTGGTAGAGCGAAGGGCTGTAGTTCCAGTGCTGGCTGGCTCAGTGCGCCCGCCCGCCCATAGCGAGTATATATATACTACACGTACACTGTACATGAGTTAGATATTGGGCGCGGATAGAGGTAAAAGAGAGAGAGAGAGAGAGAAAGCGAGAGAGAGAGAGAGAGAGAGAGAGAAGAGAGAGAGAGAGGGGGAGGAGAGGAGAGAGAGAGACGAGAGCCGACGAGATGGAGAGGGGGAGAGAGAGAGAGAGAGGTAAAGCGAGAGAGAGAGAGAGGGAGAGCAGCGATAGCGAAAGAGAGAGAGAGAGAGAGAGAGGAGAGAGAGAGAGAAAGAGAGAGAGAGAGAGAGAGAGAGAGAAAGAGAGAGAGAGAGAGAGAGAGAGAGAGAGAAATAGCAGAGAGAGAGAAGAGAGCGAGAGAGAGAGAGAGAGAGAGAGAGAGAGAGAGAGAGAGAGAGAAAGAGAGAGAGAGAGAGAGAGAAAGAGAGAGGGGGGAGAGCGTTAGCGAGAGAGAGAGAGAGAGAGAGAGAGGAGAGAGAGAGAGAGAGAAGAGAGAGAGAGAGAGAGAGAGGAGAGAGAGAGAAGAGAGACCCGGAACTCTGCGTATGAGATTGTCGAGATTATCCATCGCTGTTCCTACAGTTCCGGTACATTCACC